TGGAAAATATTCTCTCTCTCTCTCTCTCTCTCTCTCTCTCTCTCTCTCTCTTTCTTTTTTCCTCCCTCCCTCTCTCTCTGTAACTCTGCCTTGCAAACAAATAAATATTTTCTTAAAAAAATCTCCAACACCGTTTCCCATAGTGTCCATTTCACTTCAGGAGGTTTCCTTTTTGGTGTTCAGTCAGTTGTCACCGATCAGGGAGAACATATGGTATTTGTCCCTTTGGGATTGGCTTATTTCACTCAGCATGATGTGTTCCAGATTCCTTCATTTTGTTGCAAATGACTGGATTTCGTTGTTTCTTACTGCGGTATAGTATTCTAAAGAGTACATATCCCATAATTTCTTTATCCAGTCTACCGTTGATGGGCATTTAGGTTGGTTCCAGGTCTTGGCTATTGTGAATTGAGCTGCAATAAACATTAGGCTGCAGACCGCTTTTTTGTTTGACAATTTAAATGGGAAACGGTGACTTGATCAGCATAGCCCTGACTGTTAATGGACAACTTAATACATTATCCCTCTTAGTAGTTTTTTTGTCTGTTCTACTTAATATGACTGGTTTAATTCTGTAATTAATACACAGTTATTCTTAAGTGTTGAAAATTAACTGAAATGTGATCCCTGTTAAACATAAGAGTGGGAATAAGAGAGGGAAGAGATGTATAATTTGGGACATGCTCAAGCTGACTTGCCCCAAATGGTGGAGTTGGAAACATACCAGGGGATTCCAATTCAATCCCATCAAGGTGGCATGTACCAATGCCATCTCACTAGTCCAAGTGATCAATTTCAGTTCACAATTGATCATAATAAGAGGGCTAAGAGTCAAAGGGAGCACATAAACAAGTCTAGTACCTGCTAACACTAACCGATAGAATAAATAAAGGGGAGAGTGATCCAACATGGGAAGTGAGACACTCAGCAGACTCACAGAATGGCAGATGTCCTAAACAGCACTCTGGCCTCAGAATCAGCCCTAAAGGCATTCGGATCTGGCTGAAAAGCCCATGAGAGTATTTCAGGCATGGAAAGCCAAGACACTCTGGCAAAAGATCTCTGTGAGTGAGATCCCAGTGGAAAGAATAGGTCATCAAAGAAGGAGGTACCTTTCTCTGAAGAGAAGAGAGAACCTCCACTTTGACTATGACCGTGTCTAAACAAGATAAGAATCGGAGAACTCAGAGGGCTTCCATAGCCTTGGAAACTCATGACTGGAGCATAGGGAGACTACTGATGCCATAGACAGGAGTGTCAATTGGTAAAGTCAACAACAGGAGTCACTGTGCACTTACTCCTCATGTAGGATCTCTGTCCTTAATGTGCTGTGCATTGAGATTTAATGCTATAATGAGTACTCAAACAATATATTTCACTTTGTGTTTCTATGGGGGTGCAAACTGTTGAAATCTTTACTTAACGTATACTAAACTGATCCTCTGTAAAAAAAAAAAAAAAGAAAGAAAGAAAGAAAGAAAGAAAGAAAGAAAGAAAGAAAGAAAGAAAGAAAGAAAGAAAGAAAGAAAGAAAGAAAGAAATTATCAACTCCCAACTTGACTCTCACTGGGATTAAACATGACAATAGGTCTGATCTGATTTCATCATCATTTAAAAAAAAATCATCCATTATTTTTCACTTTATGTTTCTGTGTGGGAGCAAACTGTTGAAATCCTTACTTAATGTATACTAAGCTGATCTTCTGTATATTAAGATAATCGAAAATGAATCTTGATGTGAATGGAAGGGGAGAGGGAATGGGAAAGGGGAGGGTTGTGGGTGGGAGGGACGGTATGGGGGGAAGCCATTGTAATCCATAAATCGTACTTTGGAAATTTATATTCATTAAATAAATGTTAAAAAAAAAATCTCCAACAAAGAAACACTCAGGTCTCATTTGAGAATGCTACCAATCACATAACAGAATTAGCATCGAGCCAACCTCTCTCAATCACATCCAAAAGTTGAAGGGAAAAAAGTATATCCTAATTCAGTTTTACAAGGCCAGTATTATCCTGATACCAAATCCAGATAATGACATGACCACAGGAAAAGAAAACTATAGTCAAATATCCTTGATGAATACAAATGCAAAAATACTCAACAAAATATTAACCAGTGCCTTAATAGGATCATATATCAAGGCCAAATGAGATTACTTCAGGTTTTATATGAATTATTTCCACTCTCATGTTCATTGAAACATTATTCACAGATTAGATATGGAAATAATCTAAATGTCCACTGATAATGGAACTTTAAAAAAAAAAAAACCTGTGCTGGGGCTGGCATTGCAGTGTAGCAGGTAGAGCAGCCACCTGTGATACAAGCATCCCAAAAGTGGCACTGGTTCAAGTCCCAGCTGCTCCACTTCCAATTCAGCTTGCTCCCTGCTAATGAGCCTGGGAAAGTAGCAGAAGGTCGCCCAAGTGCTTGGGCCCCTGTCATCATGTGAGACACCTGGAAGAAGCTCCTGGCTCCTGGCTTCAACCTGGCACAAGCCCTGGTTGTTGCAGGCATTTGGTGAATGAACCAGCAGATGGAAGATCTCTCTCTTTATCTCTCTATCTCTAACTGTGGCTTTCAAATAAAATTTTTAAAAATCTAAAAACACAAAACCTGAGTTTTATGTATCAGTTAAAGAAATTTTAAATTATTTTTTAATGTATTACATATAATGATATATATGTTCAGCCTCATAAAAGAAGAAAATTTTGTCATGTTACAACCTAGATGAGCCCTGAGGATATTATAATAAATGAAATAAGCCAGTCACAGAATGACAAAAACTACATGATTCCACTGCTTTGAGGTATTTAAATTAGTCAAACTTATAGAAGCACAAGACAGAATGCTGTTTTCCAGAAGCTCAAAGGGCAGCAAAATAGGGAGCTGTTGTTCAGTGGATATAGAATTTAAGTTATACAAAATAAAAATATCTATCTGTATATATACAATATCGTACTGTAAATTGAAAAATTTCTTAAGGGGGTAAATCTTTTGTTATGTGTTCTTTACTATAGTTCTTTTTTTATGAAAAAAGGAAGTACAGAAAAACATTCAGGAACATGAAGATGGGCACAGGAAAGGTGCTAATCCAGGAGAGAAATCCAGAAAGACAAAACTACAGAGTTAATAACCTAGTCAGTGAACTGAAAGAAGTCTACTACGACAGGCACAGTGAGCAAAAATAGTGGAAATAGATGAAATAAGAAATTTAGGAAGGGGCTTGATCATGCATGGGTTTAGATGCCATGTTAAATATTTGAATTTTACACTAAGGATAATAGAAAGCTTTTGAATGGTTTTAAGCAAAGAGAAAACAATCTGGATAGTGTTTGAGAATAATCATTAACAGTATCCCTTTTCAAGGTCAATTAATAAAATTAGGGAAGATGATTCCCAAAATGAATATAGGCTAAATTTAGAAATATCTGGAATTTATGTTTACGGCAAAACTATACTACATTAGAAATTAATACATGGGGCCGGTGCTGTGGCATAGCAGGTTAAGCTGCTGCCGGCAGTGCCGGCGTCCCATATGGGGGCCAGTTCAAGACCTAGCTGCACCACTTCTGATCCAGCTCTCTGCTATGTCCTGGGAAAGCAGTAGAAGATGGCCCATGTCCTTGGGCCCTGCACCCATGTGGGAGACCCAGAAGAAGATCCCAGCTCCTGGCTTCAGATCAGCGAAGCTCTGGCTCTTGTGGCCAATTGGGGAGTGAACCAGAGGATGGAAGACTTCCCTCTGCCTCTGCCTCTTCTTCTCTCTGTGTAACTCTGAATTTCAAATAAATAAATGAATCTTGAAAAAATTAATACAACTTCTGATTCAACAACAGTGAATCAAAAAATCTGAATCACATATGATGAGTTCAACAAACTTGATAAAGTCTGTACAGAAACAGAATTTGAATTTCCTTTGATACAACAGCATTTCATCACTTGGCAGACAGAGATAAAAAGTTTTGAGAACATGTCTTGTGTCTGACTTTTCATTTCCCACAGTGCTATGGTATGAATGTGTCCCCTTCAAAATCCAGATGTCACCAATGTGACAATACTAACCGGCAGGTCCTTTGAGAAATAAGTAGCAGGCTGGGTATTTGGCCTAGTGGTTGAGATGCCAGAAAGGAAGCCCATATCTGTGTGCCTGCGCAACTCCAGGCTCAAGCTCCTGATTCAAACTTCCTGCAAATGTAGACTGTGGAGACAGCAGTGAATGGCTTAAGTGTTTGGCTTCTTGTCACCCACGTGGGGGACCTGGACTGAGATACTGTCTCAATCATATCAGTAATGAAACACTGGGGAGGAGTTTTATCTGACTCTCTTTCTCTTTGCTTCTCAAATAATTTTTTAAAAAATGGTGAACAGCCATGTGGGCTCATCCTCATGATTAGGATTAAATCAGCTTGACAAAGGGACCTTACCCTCTTTGCCATCCTGCTTTCTACCATGTGAGAACACAGCATTCTTCCTATGTAGAGGATGCAGTATAAGGCCCCATTTTGGAAGCAAAAAGCAGTCTTCACAGATACCAAAATGCTGGTGCCTTGATCTTGGACTTCCCAGCCTCCAGAAATGTGAAAAAATTAATTCCTAGTTCTTACAAAGTACCCAGACTCAGGTATTCTAACGCAATAGCCCAAAACTGACACATAGTATCAACAAATGAGTGAGCTTCAGTTGTAAAGTCTGATATTTAAGGTACTTAATAATTAAGAGTATTTCTTAAAATTTGTACATATTTGATTTATATCATCCTGAAAATAGCATCATATCTATTCCACATCCATGAAACAAAAAAATTATTCTCAAACTTACCTCAACTTTAACATAATACTTAAAAACAGAGCACAATAATCTGCATGGGAAAATGTTTCAGTTTAGTTTTTTCCTCCTTCTTTTTGGCAGTCAACTCAGAAGAAAGGAATAGAAACTGAATGCTTACCTAATGAACTACTTATTTTCAAAAGCTTTACAAGAAGAAAAACCTTACCAACCGTACAGCTGTCTTCAAGTACCACATCAACATTTCTGTCTCTGTACTCAACCCTGAAGTCTAGCATCCGGGGCTGCCTTTCCACAATCTGCCTGGATGGCATTACAGGTCGAAATGCTGAAGAAGAGGGAGTAGGAGCTGGAGCGGGATGTCTTGCTGGATCAAATGCAGGTCCTGGTATGGTCTCACCTCCATATTCACTAAAATGTTTACATAAAAGAAAAATTATCATCAATCAAGTCATTACATGATACCACTAGGACCCTCTCTATCCTTGTTTGTGCTGTTGTTATTAAATTTACCTACCCATGTGTTAAAATCAAACAAATTCTATTTGGTCCACTAAATTTCTCCCAGTGAAGATCACATTACTCTTCCTCCCATCTTTCCCTGTCTATGTTTCTTTGTAAGATCATATCATGATGATGTCTGTTGTGGGCATCTGGGTAGCAAACAAACAGATGGGCACATGTACTCATTTGCCCTAACAAAAAACAAATTATCTAAAACTTCTGTGTATAAAGAACAGAGTTTTTACTTCATCAATTCTCTAGTGAGAATTTTGAAGCTTCAATGACCTTAAACTATTTTTTCTACTTTAACAAAAAATTAGAAGCCATCAAGAGGAACTTCGCTTACCTTCTTAGTATTAATTCACAAATTCAAATATGCCCTCTCTTTCTCTCTTCTAATAAAATAGAATGGGCATTTTTCGATTTGTGAAAACTCTTAAAACCATATTCTCATAAATGTTACAAACTAGGGATTATCTTTTCTCTTCTAGTATGCTCAACATCTCCTTCTCTGTCAGGATTCTTCTGAATTCTGAACATGTCCCAGTCTCTGCCTTTTCTCTTAAGATTGATTTATTTATTTGAAAGGCAAAATGAGAGAGATAAAGAGCGATGCTCCACCTGCCATCAGACCTAGCCACAACATCCAGGTCTGGACCAGGCCAGAGCTAGAGCCAGGAACTCTATCCTGGTCTCCCTCGTGGATGGCAGAAGCCTAAATACTTGGACCACTTTCTAATGCTTTCCCAGGCACAATAGCAGGAAGCTGGATCAGAAGCAGAAAGCCGGGACTCAAACTAGCACTCCAACATGGGATGCTGGCATCATAAGCAGCAGCTTAGCCTGTTGCACCACAATACCAGCCCCACAGTCACTGCCAATTTAAAAGTAAAAATAAAATCCCAACTCTGCCTCCTTAAGAGTTAGATGTCTTGTTTGTAACATAGGAAAAATAATATTTGCACAATGCCTGGTACCTAGTAAGATATCAAGCCTTACTCTGTGTGTGCAAAGCTAAAGCTCATTAATGTTTCCCAAAGCTTGATCCTCCTCTATTATTCCTAATATCACCAACCTAAGCCAGAAATCTGTGATGTCATCATCGACCCCTTTTTCTTTCTCCATGCCCAAATCTAATCACTCCTTTCAATTTTGCCTCCTAAATATATTTTGGATAAGTTATCAACATTTACCCTCTGAAGCGGCCACCCTGGACTAGCCACAGTCATATCTTGTATGGACTAATGTAGGCACCTCCTAACTAATTAAAACATATTCTTACTCCCCTGTATTCCATTCCACACCACCCCTTGAATTAAAGACACAAATGCCTTCATATACAGTTTTCGTCAAACTATAAGTTTGCTCTTTTGATAAACTGCCTATAAAGCTTTGTATGATCTGAATCCTACCTACCTTCCCAGCTTCAACTTTTGCTATGATGTCTCCCTCTCTATGCTAAAAGCCACGGTGGCTTTTCATTTCTTCTTTTGCCTGAGTATGAGTATTTTACACTTACTTATTCCAATGCCACCAGCATATAAGACCAGTTATAAAATATCATTATTTTCATGCTGAATTTACACAAAAACAATGGGCCAGAAACTGATATAGAAACAGGAACCAAAAACATGACAACTTAAGCACTGTTTACAGAATTAAGGAGAAAAAAAATTTTATTTATTCTCTTATTCATACTACTGCTCTGAACAGAATTTACCCAGTAGATTCAGTAAGTTGTGACTAGTCTTTCAAAGACAAAAATACAACAGAACAGATATTATTGGTGTATGTCATTCAATAGTCAGGACCAAAAATTACTTCATAAATCTTTTTATTCTATTACATATTTGCTTATGTGTGTTTTGGATTCCAAGTATTTTTCTTTGTAGGTCACAGTCAAAAAAATTTCAAAATCAACTTGTTTAGGTGTCACCAGATTTCAGATACTCCAGTAATTACTGATCTAAAGACAAAAATCTACCCTCTCTCCCAGCTGTTAGATTGAAAGAAAGGAAATGTTGAAAGAAACTAAATGTGTAAAGGAAGACAAAGTCTAAAATCCAAAAGAATGCCACTGTTGAATTCCAAATTGAACATTCTAAATATTATCAAAATCTGTGCAATGATAATTCACATCTCTAAAGTCTGTCAAAGTGTCCTAGAGAACCTATGAAAAACAACTGAAGTTAGAAAGTAGGACACAGCTTTATTGTTTCTTGATTCCAAATCTACTTTTTTTTTTATTTTTTGACAAGCAGAGTGGACAGTGAGAAAGAGACAGAGAGAAAGGTCTTCCTTTTGCCGTTGGTTCACCCTCCAATGGCCACCGTGGCCAGCGCACCGCGCTGATCCGAAGCCAGGAGCCAGGTGCTTCTCCTGGTCTCCCATGCGGGTGCAGGGCCCAAGCACTTGGACCATCCTCCACTGCACTCCCGGGCCATAGCAGAGAGCTGGCCTGGAAGAGGGGCAACCGGGACAGAATCTGGCGCCCCGACCGGGACTAGAATCCAGGGTGCCGGCGCCGCAAGTGGAGGATTAGCTTTATGAGCCACGGCGCCAGCCCCAAATCTACCTTTTTATATAGCCTATCAAGTGATGTTGTAGCTAGGATTCTACAAAATAGGTTTTTCCTTTGACACTCCATAGAGATCAGTAGTTATGAGAAAAGGAGATCATGGGGCCGGTGTTGCAGCAGAGCGAGTAAATCTGTCGCTTACACTGCCAGAATCACATATGTGCGCAGTTGGGAGTCCTAGCTGCTCCACTTCTGATCCAGCTCCCCGCTAATGTGCTTGGAAAAGTAGCAGAAGATGGCCCAAGTTGTTGGGCCCCTGCACCCAGGTGGGAGATCCAGAGAAAAGTCCTGGCTCCTGGCTTTGGTCTTGCCCAGCCCTGGCCATTGTCACCAGTTGAGGAGTGAACCAGAAAATGGATGATCTCTGTCTGCCAATCTCTCAATCTGCTTTTCAAATAAAATAAATAAATATTTAAAGAATAATAGATGTTTTGATAATACACATGCATACCAGATTAGTAGACAAGTTCCACAAAAATGCAGGGGCTTACCAACTTCATAAAGTTTCTGGGGTCTGGTGGTTAAAAGCACTTCAAGATAAAAAGTCTATTGCTGTGACCTATACTTCTGATCAATAAATAAGAGATGAAACTAAGTTAACAATGGAAGAAAATATTTGGACTGGAAAGAAAAACAGTAGCTATGTATCATATGCTGGTAGCCACCCCAAATAGACTACTACAGCATTATAGCCCTAACCAGAAATATTCCTGAGAGATGACAGTGAAAGAAAGCCTCCTAGTGAAGAGATCTTATTAATATACCACAGTTGACCATTTCATTTGGAAACAGAAATAGTCTGAAGTACAAAGCCATAGTGAATCATGAACAGCTAATAAGTTGGACATTTAATCAGGACATGGAAAGAATAAAATTGGAAACTTGGATGCCAAGGAGGTCTAGGAAAGAGATACAGACACAGTATATATTTGTTTCTCAGGTGAATGAGCTCTATGCTATCCAATGAAGAAAAGCCCCTGTGTAACATAGACAAGAAGCCATTATTCAGCAATTTTCCCCTTGTTACTCTGGAGCTGCCCAATACATTAATTTACAATATGGCCATGCCAAGAGAGAAGGTTAAGGATGGACACAACACCTTGGGCTAACTAGGAAAACTTCAGAGTGTCTAAGCTTCACACAACAGAAATGAATACTGAGTCCCCAACAGGGCACCATTCCCTAGAGGCCTATTAATGAATTATTCTCATTAAAGAGGTGGTAGTGACCTGTTTTCACACTTTTCTGGATATAGAACTGACTTCTCCAACAGCAATACTTCTAGCAATATCACTACTCATGGATTTAAGGAATACCTTATTGATCTACACAGCTTCCCATACTACACTGGTCCTAAGAAATTCATTTCACAGCAAAAGTGCAGCATAGTTTATTCATGTATGCCAACACCTAGAAGTAGCAAGCTAGACAGAACAATAAAATGACTTCATGAAGCTGGACTCAGTTATAGGGAATGGCATTGTAGCACAGCTGTGGCCTGCAACACAGCATCCATATAAGGACCAGTTTGAGTACAAGCTGCTCTTTTTTTTTTATCTCTTGTGTTTAATTTGACAGGTAGTGTTATAGACACTGAGAGGTCTTCCGTTGGTTCACTCCCCAAATGGCTGCCACAGCCGGCACTACAACGATCCAAAGCCAGGAGCCAGGTGCTTCTTCTGGTCTCTATGAGGGTACAGGGGCCCAAGCACTTGGGCCATCCTCCACTGCCCTCCTGGGCCACAGCAGAGAGCTGGACTGGAAGAGGAGCAACCAGGACTAGAACCCAGCACTCGCGCAGGCAGAGGATTAACCAAGTGAGCCATGGCACCGGCCCCAGCTGCTATACTTTTGATTCTGTTCCTTGCTAATGTACCTGGGAAAGCAGCAGAGGATGGTCTAATTACTTAGGCCCCAGCATCCACATAGGAGACCCGGAAAAAGTTCAAGGCTTCTGGCTTCAGCATGGCCCAGCCCTAGCAATTGGCCCAGCTGTTCTACTTTTGATTCTGTTCCTTGCTACTGTACCTGGGAAAGCAGCAGAGGATGGTCTAATTACTTAGGCCCCAGCATCCACATAGGAGACCCGGAAAAAGTTCAAGGCTTCTGGCTTCAGCATGGCCCAGCCCTAGCAATTGGCCCAGCTGTTCTACTTTTGATTCTGTTCCTTACTATTGTACCTGGGAAAGCAGCAGAGGATGCCTAATTACTTAGGCCCCAGCATCCACATAGGAGACCCGGAAAAAATTCAAGGATTCTGGCTTCAGCCTGGCCCAGCCCTAGCAATTGGCCACCAGGGGAGTAAACCAACAAATGGAAGATTGACTGA